AAATTCAATGGGCAAAATCGGTATTCTACTGTTCTATGTACAGTAAACCATGTCTTTTTTTAGTATATATAATAATGTTTAGAATTGAATTCAAAGTTCTAGATTGCATTATTAGTTCATTGTCGTTACTAAAAGCTCCATTGTTTACTGTTGTATTGGTTTTCGAATGTATGCCACTTTGAGACACATATATCTGTTATTATCGTTTTAATGGCGTCATTTTTCTATGTTTCTTTTGCAAAATGTCGTCGTTTTCAAACGTTGTTCTTTTCTCTCAAATTACTACCATTTTTTAAATAGCTGTCGTTTATAAATGTCATGTTTAATTGCTAGTGTCCTTTTCAATTGTCGGCTCTATTCGCTTTTCAAGTTGTCAAGCTCTGTGGTGTGAAGTAGTGTGAAGTCTAGATCATGGTGGTTTTGGATGTGTTTGGCTACCCAAAAAACTCAAAAAAAAATAACTCGAGTTTTAATTTTATTTAAGTTTATGTTCTTTTAAGTTTGAACTCGAGTTTGAACTCGAATTTGAGACTAAAACTCGAGTTCAAGTGTCTCATTCAACTCGAGTTCAGAAACTCGAACTCAAATTAATGAAAAATATTTTTTCTATTCTTAAAAATGCTATAACTTTTTCGTTTTAATCCTGATTGAAATGATTTTTTTCTATGCGTTGACAACGAAAAGACGAATAAAACCCCACCCATATACTCTATTAAAAATTTTCGTCACCATTGAGTTTTTATTAAAATACTATCTAAATACAAATTTAAGTTTTGACTCACTCAAACACAAACTCAAAAAAAGATTATTATCTCAAACCATAACTCAAATGTACACAACTAAACACAAACTCAAGTCACAACTTCAACTCAAGTTATAACTCAAATTCAACTCAAAAACTACACTCAAGTCACACTCTAAAAGAACATGCCCTTTGTGTACTCACAGAGCAAATTTTGCTTTAGTGATGGGATTTAAAACAATAGCCGTGTTTGAAATTGATCATGTTTTTGTTTTTCACATTTTTTTTTTTAAAAATGAAAACGTTTTCAAAACGATATTTGACGCAATAAAAACAAAAAACGAAAATGAAACGATTTTTTAGTTTAGTGTAAAATGAGAGAAAAATGAAAAATGATTTCTAGTCATTTTTCATTTTTTATTTTCATTTTCTCCTCTCTCGAGCAAAGAGAGAGAAAGAAAGACATTAATGGAATTTTTTACACTGAAAATAATCTCTTGATAAAATTACCAAACACATTTTCAAAAATAATTTCTGTCTGAGATTAAAAATATTTTCATTTTCATTTTTATACAAAAAAATAAAATCATTTTAAAATAAGTTCTAAACGCGTCTAATAACAATGTGTTTAACTTTGTGCGGGTTGTACTCACATAGCATTAATTTTATTTTGGAGATGAAATTCAAAACGATTCAAAACAATAGCATTGTGTTTGACTTTGTGCGGGTTGTACTCACAGAGCATTAATTTTGTTTTGGAGATGGAATTCAAAACAGATTTTGTTTGTATAAGAGGATTTCTTCATTTTAGAAACATACTCACAGAGCATCAATTTCGTTTTGGAGATAGAATTCAAAATGAATTTTGTTTGTAGAAGAGGATTTCTTCATTTTGGGAATGTAGCATTGTGTTTTGGCTATGAAGATTGTGATTTTAGGGCTGAAAGTTTTTATTTTTATTTTTATTTTTTTTTAGTATAATTGGTTCTGAAAGTTTGAGGAAGAAGAAGACATATAAATCTGAGTTCTTTTTTTTTTAAAAAAAGCTTTTTTTAATTATTTAATCATTTTTATAGATTTAGTTAGAATTTAATGGCTTTAGCTAATTGTTAATTGTATGTTACATCATCAAATATGTTAACTTTATAGACAGAAATAGATGAAAAGGACATCTTAATTCATTTTTTATATATCAAGAGATATTTTGAACTGTTTTTAAAAATCATGAAGTATTTTAAAATAAAGTACATATTTTGTGGGAGTATATACAAAATTAATCTTATTTTTTAACCCAACTGAAAGAAACCAGTTTGAGAAAAAACTAAACTCAACAAACATCAAATCCCGAAGCAAACTGTGGTTTTCGGTGTGGGTTGGTTTCCAGGGGGTTAGGTTGGGTTCCGGTTTGGACCTATCAAATTGGGCTAAAAAAGTCTAATGAATGGTATAGATTACTTCCACACAACAAATAATGTTGAGACTAAGCAACATAATAGAAGCTATCAAAAGTAAGGTCTCATTTAGTTGGAAGATTCATTCTCTAATTTGAATCATGGTTCATGGTTCGTTATAATATTTTTTCTTATAAAAAATACACATAAATCAAAAATAATTTTAATCTTATAGTTTTAATCCATAAACCAAACAGGCTCTAACAAATAAGCTATCAAACTAAAAAATAAAAGGGAAATTTTATTGACACCCTTTATTTTATAATGGCATCCCATAATTAGTAAAATGACTAAAAGGAACAACTTAAAAGAAAAGAACAACAAAATCCCGCTTTTTCATTGCTAGAAAAAAAAAAATCCCGCTTCTTCAACACCCACTCCTGATTGTTTATTTTCTGTCTTTTTCTTTTTCGCCCTTACTGTTTATCACTCATTCACACCTCAATTGCTCTATATCTATCGTTCTTGTCGCTGTGAAGGTAATATTTATCAATCTGTTGAAATGGGTTTCCAGCAAAATTACTGAATACATCATTATATATTTATATATATATATATATCTCATATATATATATATATATATTCGTTTGATATTTGAATCTAATTTAAATCACACATTATACATTCGTTTAATATTTATTTATTAGTTTTCTAAATACATCATTTAATCACAACAATTCTATCTTAACATGAATGAATGATAAAAAAAAAAAAGAAAAAAACGATGGAATGAGGGGAAAAAAAACCTTCAAGAGAGATCTTGTGTTGTTTGAGTTTACAATTTTCTCTTTGAAACAAAAGAATTTTGATGTCGATGATTTGAAAAAGCATCCAAGTTAAGTAGGTTGGATCCAAAATCGGTTATTACTAATGATTTTATTTTAAAAAAAAAAAAAAAAGTTTTATGGGGTGTACTTGCAATAAGACAATGTAAAACTATTTAGTATGTGAGGGTATAACTGTAATAAAAATATTATATTCTTTAAATGAGGTGTCTTAATAAAAAAATAGGGTGACAATATAATTTCCCAAAATAAAACTCCAATCCAACATCATAATTTCCAAGTCCAACATACAATTATTTAAAAGCCATTAGCCAAAAAAGAAGTTAAACAAAATATTAATAACTGAAAAACAAAGTTCGGTGTGGGTTGAGTTATTCTGATTGAAAGAAGTCTAACCCACAGGCCACCCAAAAAGTTTGGGTTAGAAATTTAAGGACCCAAAAATATTTCCAGATATAGATGGGTTGTCAATTTTGGTGTGAGTAGTTATACTTACACCTTAAAAATTCATTAATATCCCCACCGATTAGTAATTCTTTAATAAAAATTTAAAAAATTTATCATTTTATAGATATAATTTTTATAATACCTAATTTAACCCTCTCATATCCTCACCTAATTTTAATGTTGATTTAATTTATAAAATAATATAATGTTATTAATATTATATTTTCTTTTTAAAAACCTTGCAACTCCATTATTTACCGTTCATTAAAAAAATAAAAGAATCCATTTATCTTTATTTATGAATTGTGTTTGTCTTACCTCCTCCTCCTCCTCCTCCTCCTCCTTTCAAAACCATAATTTTCATATGCAACAATGTCTTTCACTAAGCGTATGTATGACCGCCTTAACTCAAATGGAAAGAAATCTATATATAATTATACGGATTGTGAATCAACATCTTTTTAGCATTTGTTGGCTCTTTAAGTGACATGCTTTATTTTTTTAAAATTTGATGGAGAAAATTTGTTTATGAAGATGAACTTAGCTTTAACTGGAAATGTGGAGGTATGGTTTTTTTATTCCTTTAAAATTTACTTTCTAATCATAGTTAATGTGGGTGTATATTCTTTTATTTCTTTGAAAAACATACAATTTACATTTATAGTTAATGTGGGAATGTATTAATGGGTTTTAATATAATTTTAATACAATGTATAAAATAGTAATAAACATAAATTATAAATTAGTAGGGGTATTAATACCCCTCCTAAACTCCATCTCATCCAAATTCTTTAGACCAAGCGGTCTTAGGCTCTCACCTTTGTTTTTTAAAAAACCAACTTTATTATTTCTCATCACGCGAAAGAAAAAAACGAATAATGAGATGTTCATTGCCGTAAAGCCGTTATCCATGACTTCATAAATGTTTTTTTTTTTTTTTCTTTGTCCTCTTTTGTCATTTTTCGTTAAGGATGACTTCATGAATCATGAGTTTGGACTTAGGACCATAAAACTGCAATCAATGAAATTGGGAGTTCGTCATTCACATCTACTCTTAACATCATTAAGCAAACAAGTTCCAACAATATGCTATTTTGGCTTATTTTTGTGTTGGTAAAAAATTTCAAATATGCTTGAGAAAATCATTCAGGAAGTTTGGAGATGCTTCGCAGTCTTTGCGTCAATGGAAGCAAACGGAGGAAGAGAGAGAGAGAGAGAGAGAGAGAGAGAGAGAGAGAGAGAGAGAGAGAGAGCAATATTATGCGTTAAAAGGAGGTTTAAGGGAGAGTTATAGGTCTACCAACTGGTGGTTAGGGTTTGAACCCTCTTAAGCAAACAACCACCACCACCACCAGACAATATTCGTTGAATCGTTTCCATTATATTTCATATTAATTCCAATAGTGTTATTTCTTGAGCATCAATATTCTATATAGCGCGTTTTTAGCGTGTTAGCGTATACATTTTTCACACGCGTGAAACTTAGAAACGACTGGCTGAGAAATATTCTCCTTCACAAATTTAAATTTCTAAATAAAAAAAATATTGACAAATATTGCGAATAGAATATTTGTGGTTGGTACGGCTGGAGCTATAACAAATGTCAAATTATTGTTAACAATATATTATTATTCGTTGAGTTGGTGCTGTTGTTCCAATGATAAGGAGGTTGGTTTCTGTTTGGGACTGACTATATTTGTTATCTCTTGGTCTTGGGATTATTGTTGTTTTTCTTTTGTCTCCGTTTTAGTAGGCTTGCGTTTGGCCGACTTTGGAAAACTTTTGTTTTCAGAGACTTCCCGTTTGCTTCCCACTAAAGTACTTGTTGGAGAGGCTTTCAGGTACTTAATATTTCCTTTCATGTACTAATTTTTCCACCTTTGTCTTCTAAGTTTTCCAATTCTAGTTATGATCCTTTTTTACTACAAATTTTTTTATGCTTAATTGAGCTTTCATCTTAGGGCTAATGTGTTCGAAAAATAATTATTCAGTTTCTTTTTCCTTCATCGAGCTTTCATTTTAAAGATGGTTTCTGGGATTCTCAGCTCAATCACTAAATTTGTTGTTTCACTAATTTCTTAGCATAATTGATCATAATTTCATAGCGTGGTAAAATTGATCATATGTTACTTTCTTATCTTCCAAAGTCTTTACAATTTATCATAAAAAAAAAAGTCTTCGTAATTTGGTTCAAGAGTTGTTATTTTAGAATATTTATTCTCTTTAACTCCTTTTTCTTTTGAAAAGAAATTAAAAAAAAAAAAAAAAGTTAATCGAGATCATTTACACATCCTAGTTGTTACTCATGATTTCTGTTACCTTACCATATTATTCCCTGCCAGGAGTGCTATTGTGCCGTTGATCAAGACGGAGATGGACGGCCGTAATAATTAATTACAGGATTCCATTCTAATTCGTGAAGAGCACTACATCAAACTCAAAAACCAGAGGACCAAAGGAATTAAAAAAAAAAAAAAAAAAGGCATGGCTACGTATTTGCCAAATCTAAGCAACAAAAAATGTGATCCCTCATCACAATACATGGATGACCCATTCGTCACATGTCCTAGCGAACCGTCTCTGCGCGGGGGTGGCGGCAACGAGATGATGTACTTGAACAGCCATCAAGCAGCCATGATCTTGCCTGGTACTAATTGTCTAAATTCCAATTGCGTTGACTCGGTCGAAAGTCGAAATGAAATGATGTTCATTCCTCCCATAGAACAGAATGTCCATTATCAGGGACAAGGATTATCTCTTAGCCTTGGAAAAGAATTTCAGTACCATTATTCTTCAAACCCAAGTCTCTCTTCTGATCATATGGGTACTTGTGTTTCAAGTTTGGGAAGCAACAACGAAAGCGTTGAGTGCTTCTCAATGGCATCCGGGTTTTGCGGAGGCAAAAAAACAGAGGACTTAGGCAATCCAAATGGAGGTTTTGGTTATCGTTTTGGTAACAATGTTTTGAACTCCAAGTACCTCAAGGCTGCACAGGGATTGCTTGATGAAGTGGTCAATGTCCGAAAGGCTTTGAAGCACAAGTTGCAGGGGAATATCGGGTCATCGGATGGTTTGAAAGAAAATGACGATGGGAAAGCCAATGATCCATCGTCGGATCCTAGTGAAACAAGTGCAAATCCTCCTTGTGAGATATCTCTCACGGAACGACAGGATTTGCAGAATAAGAAGACTAAACTCATGTCCATGTTGGATCAAGTAAGGCTTCTCTCCCTTGGTTTAGACCTTATGCATGTTTTTAATCAGCTATTTTGAATTTCGGTTTTTGGCATGTTTTAATCAGCTTTTGTATACGAATGATGAGCATTGAACAGTAGAAAAATTGTATGCTTTTTGTATGCTACATGTTCATTGAGGTTTTCTTTTTCGTGTATAATGATTACTACTGAAAAGTGGATGCAACATTAATTCTGGTGGATAATATACTGAAAAAAAAGTATTTCCTCTTTTGAGAAATTTTAAGGTGTAACTGGCCTATTTTTCTGTTCCTATATCTTCTGCTTTATCATGTTATTTTTACAAGGCCAATTAACACTTTCTATGCCCATCGTTACAGATTGACAAAAGATACAAGCAATACTATCAGCAAATGCAAATAGTGGTGTCGTTTTTTGACAACTTGGCTGGGCGTGGGGCAGCTGAGGCATACACCGCCCTTGCCCGGAAGACAATATCCCGTCATTTCCGGTGCTTGCGCGACGCGATCAGCGAACAGATTCAAGCAATACAGAGAAGACTTGGGGAACAAGATCACTCAACGAATAGCCAGCCATCAGCAATTCCTCGTCTGCGCTATGTGGACATGAAGCTGAGACAAGAGAGGGGAATCAATCAGCTTTCCGCAATGAGACATGCTTGGAGGCCTCAAAGGGGTCTCCCAGAAAGCTCTGTCACCATCCTTCGTGCGTGGCTCTTTGAGCATTTCCTTCATCCGTACGTTCTTCCCGACTCTTTTACTTTTTTTTTTTTTTTTCCTCCAACTTGTTGAAATCATTGAAGATACACGGCTAATTCTTTTATATGTCTTTTGGTGTTTCATTAGGTACCCAAAAGAATCAGAGAAAGCTATGTTAGCAAAGCAGACTGGATTGACCCCAAAACAGGTTAGAAAAGTTAATTTCACTTTTCCCCCAATCATCCTTGATTTTCATTTTTCAATATGACATATCTGCTGCGTAAATTTAGAAAATTATGTGGAGTACGTTCTACAAGACGCTATAAGTCGTTAATCATGACCCTAAGATTTAATTCAACAATGTATATTATATGGGGCTAGTAATTATGCGAGTATTGTTAGTAAACATCGTCACAGCAAATGTATAAGCGTTGTCTGATTAAAATCTACGATGCGCAAATTGTAATAATTAAGGTCATAGACTGCAAAATAGTTCTTTAGGTGCAAGTGAAAGTAATCACACATCGCTTACCATTGGTAACCCCTTTGTGTTTTTGATTTGGTCAGGTGGCCAACTGGTTTATCAATGCAAGAGTACGGCTGTGGAAGCCCATGGTCGAAGAGATGTACAAAGAAGAATTCAACGATTTGGAGAACAACCCGAACTCGTCACCGGAAAATCCCCACATGATTAAGATTAACAAAGAAACACACGGAATACTTGACGATTCCTCATCACCATATTATTCGGACAACACGAGGACGAGGAAAGAAGAGATAGAGAAGATCAGGAGAAGCAGCAGCAGCAGCTTGTGTGAGGAATACATGAGTAACATCACGGAGTCCGACAATGCAGCGCACAACGTGTTCATGGGCGACGAGGCTCTCCGTACAAACGACCAGAATTCCACGTCGTATGGCGTGGCAGAGGAGGACTTGGGAGGCATCGTAGTCCGCGACTCCCGCCACGTGTCGCTCGCGTTGGAGTTGCGGCACTGTGAAAGTGATGGATTTTCCACGTTGGGTGGTGGGCCCCACAATGATTCTGCTTCTGATTCTGCTGCTGCTTCCGCTTCTCTGGATTATCAAAGCAGGTTCAGCAATCCTCACCTGTTGCATGATTTTGTAGTGTGAGAAAGAAAGCCAAGGAAAAAAAAAAAAAAAAACAGAGAGAGGGAGAGAGATTTTTGGGATATTTATATTTTGATACCTCATATTTTTAGTTTATTTAAAAACTATATCTTTAATTTTTTATCTCATTAAATATATATTTTTAAATTAAATTTAATATACAAATATATACTTTATCTCAATCAATAATGAATTTTAACTTTTAAAATAACTAAACTATTTTTAAGAAAAAAAAAAGCACTAAAACTTTCCAATATTACAACAAATTAAAAATTAATACCACAAAAAGCTCTTTCCATGGTATTTTGCATTTCTTTGAGGTCAAAACCATAAATTTAAAGTTTTTTTCTTTTTTTTATTTTTTATTCAAGAGTATTCTAGATATTTTTAAGGTTAAAATCAAAAGTTGATAGTGGAAAAGTATGTATTTAAAAATTTATATCTAATTTAAAAATATATATTTAATGAGATCAAAAATTAAAGATATAATTTTTAAATAAACTTAAAACACAGAAAGGGTAAATATCCCGAGATTTTTTTCCTTTTTTTCCTCTTTTTACATTAGCCAACTCAACGTTCAGATTGCGAAAACCAAAAAGATAAAAAAGATAAAAAAAAAAAAAAAAAAAAAAAAAGAAAAAAAAAGTAAAAAAAAAAAAAAAAAAAACCAACCCAAGAAATGCTCTGTGCTGTAGCTTTCAGGCATTATCTTTTGCTAACTTTTGTTTTTTTTTTTTTTTTTGATAATTCTTTTGCTAACTTTGTTCATTGGTAAGAGAGCTGAAGAATTGCTGGCCATACACGCAGAGATATCAATATGTAGATTCGCATATGACACCATTTGGTGGAAACTGTAGGCTTATTTGTAAAGTTAGCAATGAATAAACATCCTGTGTAATAAATAGTAGTCGTCTATAATTACTCACTAGTGTGACATCATTGTATCATATGCTGAAATAAATGCGAAATAAGAGTGTGAGTAGTGCATATTTCTTTGTAAGTGAAATTCATGAAGAGTTACAGGGGTTCAAGATAGCCATGTGTAAGATTTGTCTTTTTTCTAAATTTCTTCGAGGGGAAAAAAAAAAAGAAAATAAAAAATATGCAGATTTCTTTCGTTAAGTTTATAGTCATGAGGATGGACATGGATGATAGAACTGGATCAGTATAAGACTTTATCCTTGTTTTATGCCTGAACTGGTATTTTTGGAAAAGATTCCTGCTATCCAAAGAATTTTACAATTTTTGTTGGGATCCAGACATAATCTCATTTTTTCTAGTCATCAAACCTCTAAATACTTCAATTTGAATGTCAAAAGTTTCAGCTTATCTTTTTCGGCTTCGAAAAATCATATTGCTTCAATTTTTTCTCTTTGGATTGAAGAATAACATATTTTACTCGTTAGTATTTAATATTGAGTATGTGAAGTGTATTACCTTAACATTGAGACAATATGTGGGCTGCTTTTTGTAGTGAGGTCGTCGTAGGGGTTGCAAAAGGGCGGAAGTCCCTGGGGACAAAATTTTTAGAACAGATATTTCACTTATATATTGGGAGCGCCAATTTTGAGTATTGTGCGATTTTTTTTGTAATCTTTTATGAAAATAGATGTAGCTTTCATGTTAAATGTAATACCGCTATTAGTGGTATGTATGATTTTTTTTTTTCATGGATTTTATTGTTCTCAATGGCAAAAAAATAAGAACGTTTGATTCTTATTTTTCTGAAGTAAAGGGCGTCTAATTCTTATCATTTCATGCGTTACTCACTATTCATATTTTATTTTGGCCAGTCTCTTGTTTGCCTCCCTTCTTATTTGATGCGTGGTACACAAGCATAACATATTTTATTTCCATATCGTAGAATCGGGAAATTCTGCATTAGGTACGCAAACATACATTGTTATTAGCCGGCAAATGTTTTTGAATCGCCGGTTTCGTTTGATTTCTCTGTATGATTTGACATTAAAAATAAAAAGCACACTCCTAACATGCTTCTTTAATCAAGACAAAATTTTGTGCTATTGTTGCCGTGTATCAGAAGTGCCCACATAAAAACTTCCTGTCTGGTCTTAGTTGTGATGGCTACGCATTTGATGGCCCCAAAAGATGGTGCGATTCTTGTGACACATACATAGAATTGGTGAACAAAACTCGTCAACCAAATATTGAAGCTTGTTTCCTTAGATGGTATATGCTGTAACCAAGAAAATCACCATGCTATATATCATCTGATTGCTGCTTGCTTGGTGTCAGGCTGATTGTTTCGTGGTATATTTGGGTGAATAGGTCCTGTAAGTAGCTGAATATATGACCATATAAATCAGATTCCTTCTACATTTTTCTGTCCTTTTTTCCCCCCCTCCCCTTTTTCCCCTTTTAAACTCATCTTTCTGGGTTCAGAAGTTGTACCACGGTTGTTCAGTAAGGAACTCTTGTTATGTTGCAGCAGCAACAAGATCTACACTACAATGGACCATTTGATTGTCACACCCAAATAACAATAATAACAAATTTTTTTTTTTATTTCTTTCTTCTCTAATGACCAAAAAGTGAGTATTTTGGAGTGGGGAAAGTGGGAATCAAGTGATCATCCCGAAGCAATATTCACGAGACAATTGTTGCAGAAAGTTGCCAATTGAAATTACTGAGATGGGTTCAGAGAAAAAATTGCAGGTTGAAGCAGAACAACTTTAATCTATGAAGGAGGGGAAGGGGTGGGCCTTTTTGGTCTTATTAAACAACAAAGTTACGGAACAGAGAGTGCGACAACTGGAGGAGGCCAAAGGAACAAAGATGGCAATCATTACTAAAGCATCCAAAAAGACCCAACCCAATTTTGTGCCCCAGAAAATCAGTCCCCTCAGCACACCAAACCAAAAAACCAACAACAAAGTAGCTCACATCTCTGTCTCTCTCTCCTCTCTTTCTCTCTCTCTCTCTCTCTCTCTATCTCTATCCCTATTGGCACATAGCACAGTAACCCATTTTTATTTTTCACTTCATTTATCGAAAGATTATGCGTTCGGGGGTGTTCAGTGTCTTTTCAACATCTCTCCTATATCTATGATTGCCAAACCCTAAAGGCCCAAGAAAATGATTTTTTTTTTTAGTGTTAATATTCCCAAGCTGACAGTCCTAGAACTGAGAGTGTGTAAAAGATGACCAACTTTTTTTTTCCTTACCTCTTTTTACAGGTTTTTTACAGCGACCACGGTGAACGGTGAACAGGACAATTTCTCTTTTTAACATGTTGAAAGGGGCCTTCTTTATTTTATGTCTTATTAACTCTTCACCCTGTGAGTGGTGAGAGAGTGAGGATATTTTTTTACACTGTTTTTGAGCTGATTAGTACTTTTGAGTCTCCCAAAGAAATGTGTATAACTGCTGGCACTAAAGCTGGGGGGAGTTTTGTTTTGATGCTTTTGCTTCTTGTAATATTACTATACCCAGTTAGATTTTTTGAAAAAATAAAAATAAAAAAAAATTTGCTGCTTTTTGCGTTTTTACTTGGCCAATTAACTTTGCTTCTTTAAAGAACTAGAAGAAGTCTATGCCTTTAGGATTTGCAGCTTTCTACAGCTTATAGATTTAGACCCTTGAGAGAGATGAAAGGGGGGAAGGGAGGGAGGACTGTTCTTTTGAATTATTATTCAATAAAGTTTCATTATTTGGATTGGCCTCTTGCTGTTTCTTAGTCATTTTACTTTTATGATTTTGCTGATTATGAAAGGACTAAGTGAAATGAGTAGAACAAAAGCAACATAAAAGTTTTCAGTCAATACCTTGTATGAATTTACCATTGAATAATTTACTTTAATGAGTAATCTATTATTGGATCTAATTCATATCTGCAGAACTATAATTTAACCACGCTTTAAAAGAGCAGTTTCTTTTGGCTTTTGATTAGTAGAAAAGGAAATTTAATTACCTCTCTTGGACTTTGTTAATTCTCCTCTGCCAATCAGGGGTTAGAGTTAGTTGGCTAAGTTTGATTAACATGGCAGTTTGTCTTGTTTTCTGCTTTTCCGGTCCTGTCCTTATTACCTCTCTCTTTCCTATGCATTTTGACAAACAACTGAATGAATAAAGGTCTTCCTTTCAGGCTCTCCTCAGAATTCTCTCTCTCTCTCTCTCTCTCTCTCTCTCTCCATTGAATGACTGGAATACTTAATGGGTCAGCTCTATTTTGAGTTCTACAGTTGAAATTCTCAGTTCAAGCAAAAAACTTTAAATTCTCAGACCGTCCACTATGAATAAATTCTGACTTTTTTCCCATCATCACTCTTGATTCTAACTATGAATTATGACTAATACTCTTTAGCCTCTTTTTAGTTCTTCTTGCTTTCACTCTCTTTTGGATCAAGTTTAGTACAGATTTTCCATTTTCCCTCCAGTGTCCAAGGCCTTATCTTGAGATGGCCTTCTACTTTGTCATCCAACTACTACTCATGTCTATAAATCCATTTATGCAAAGAAAGAAACCCAATACTTTTAGCCCTTTTTAAGGCGTGCCTCTTGACCAATTATTGCTTCCAAAAACCATAAATGTGAAATTTTGATCCTTTAGTACTTGTGTTTCACTCTCAGCCTCCTTAGATACTAATTATCAAACTTTTTTTTTCCTGGTTACAAATGGTTTCACAAGACTCTCCCCCACATCCAGACACAAATAATATTCTACACCAATTCCTTATCTCAGACTCAATCACCACCCAAAACCAATTTGAGAACCAACACTTTGATGCTTATGGGTCCTCCACCAACTTCAGAGGCAGCAACAATATCACATTCTCTCCTTGCCCTTCTCAGCTTGGTGTCTTACCAAGCATTCAGTCTTTGGGTGAAAGAATGTCTAGATCAATAGACCTTGTCCAAGCTCCAACGAGAGTGTCGTCGGAATCCGAGATCAGCCACACCAGGCGTTTGATGGACCTTTTAGGAGCAGCAGCAGCAGCAAACGACACCAACCACCAAGCCCAGAGGCTCTCCTTGTCTCTCGGCTCTCAGATGCTCGTTCCTCATGTCCAATATAGACAAAGGTCCTTGAACTCAGATCTCATGAGCCAAAATTACTTGCTTTCCGGAGATCAAGAACCTAGAGAAGAAGCTTGTAGTAATCCTGGCGTGGAAAATGTAGTAAACGACGAGTACCCTTTTCCTGGAAGCTCGCTAGCTTCGTCCTCGGCCTCGTTGAATCGACATTGTTCAACGTTGTATGGAGCGGCATCTCTGTCCAATGCCGTTGGGCAATCGAGATATCTAAAACCAACTCAGTCCCTCTTGGAAGAGATCGTCAACATTGGTGGGAAAGCAGTTGACTTAAGCAATGAGAAATATGTCAGCAAGCTGTTCCGCGGAAGCAGAAGAGGCTCTCTAATCCTTTCTTCCGAACTAAAAGCCGAATTCTGCAGCAGTGGAGCCATGTCTGCCGAGAAACAAGAGTGTCAAATCAAAATCGCAAAGCTCATCTCTTTATTGGAAGAGGTGGGTCTATAAACAACTACATAGCTTTTTGGTTTTTCATGTTGTAAAAGAGTTGAACAACGAAAGTAGATGGCAAGTGCATGATCGAATTGATCTCATTACACAAGGCAGATATTGTATAATTTTTCGGTTTTCCGCAATTTCTTTGGTGTAAACACCCTTGTGTGAACATTTAAAGTGTCGGTTTAATTCGGTTTGACATTTTATAGGTGGAGAGCAGATACGAGAAGTATTACCATCAAATGGAAGAAGTAATGACGGCGTTTGAGATAATAGCAGGACAAGGGTCAGCCAAGTCTTACACGGCTTTGGCTCTTCAAGCCATGTCGAGACACTTTTGCAGCTTAAGGGACGCCATTGTTTCGCGGATAAATATCGAGAAGCGAAAGCTGTTTCAAGACTTGCCCAAGATCAGCGCTGGTCTGTCGCAGCTCAGCCTGTTCGACAGAGAGTCGAGAAATGACAGCAACTATAACAACCGAATCACTCTTCAACAGCTTGGGATGATGCAAAGTCAACGCCAAGCTTGGAGACCAATCAGAGGATTGCCTGAGACCTCCGTCACAATCCTTCGCGCTTGGCTCTTTGAACACTTCCTTCACCCGTAAGAAAAAGGAAAAAAAAAAAAAAAAAAAAAAAAACTCTCAAAAACTGATTATTTATTGTGTGATTATTAATTTAATATTTTTTCTTTTGGGTTGTGTTACAGTTATCCGAATGACTCGGAGAAGCTAATGTTGGCATCACAAACTGGACTCACCAAGAACCAAGTAAATTTATAATTATTTTGTTTTCTGTGTTTTGTGTAGTTTTTTTGTTAAGAGTTGGTCTAAATTATGGTCGTTTTCAGGTTTCAAATTGGTTCATAAATGCCCGGGTGAGACTTTGGAAGCCAATGATTGAAGAGATGTACAAAGAAGAGTTTGGAGATTCTTCAGAAGAATCAAATCCATTGGGTGGTGGTTCCATGACAAGGGAAGGTGTCACGGACCAGGAAGAGGACTGAAGAGAATATTTAGAGGGACAAAGCAAGGCAAGGCATTTGTATGGGTGGTAGTGATTAACTAAATCCGCTTGATGTGGGCTTCTTGTTAAAATTTTATGTAGCAAGTTGAATTATATATATCTGAGTTGTTATGTCAATGCATCCCAAAAAAAAAAAAAAAAAAAAAAAAACACTCGGGATTTTTTTTTTTGGCTAAAGAAAATATCTAGGCAATGGGTTGGTGCAGTAATATTGGAGATTAGCTATTTCATCTGCAATTTTTGTTTTGTTTAAAGTTGTTGTTGCTATTGTTTGTTTTTGGTGTTGGGAACTGTAGGCTTGGCAGGGAATCACAATTTCCTTGCTGAGGTTTGCCGTGGTTTATAACTGCTCTTTGTATCAAACACAATCTTGACAATAACAGAAAAACTGAAGACTTTTTTCAAAAAACAAAAAACAAAAGTGCGCTTAAAATTTTTGCAAAATACCCCATTAAAGGAAACTTTGCAAAATAAAGAGCAGAACGGAAAAGAAATACAAGTGCATTTGCAGTTTTATATATGAAGGCCATATGACATGCGACTCACATGTCGTTTTGTAGTTAACTGAAGCAAATCTAATTTGAGCGACATGTCGTCCTCCTTAAAAGCCAGCAAAAGCTATTTCCAAAAAAAAAAAAAACAAAGGGACTCTCGACAACCCAAAAAAAAGGTCCGGTATGTCGTTTATACGACTAATGGACTTCTAAAATACAAGCGACATGTCTCAAGCAAAAGTGTACTATTTAAAACGACAAGTCGTTAAACGACTACGACATTAGACAAAGTGACATGTCCTTTAAAAACTATATTTGAAAATAAAAATGTTTTTTAAAGGGGAAAAATGCCTTTTTTCGTAGGGGTATTCAAAGAATCCGTTAATTGATTCATCTAATCCCAAAGTTTTAGATTAGATTTCGGATTGAGTCAATCCATGAAAACTGCGAATTCGAAACTATTATATATGTAATTTATATTTATTTATAATATCTTTATTTAAGTTTTTTTTAATTTTCTCAATAAAGATTTGTAATATATATGAAATATTTTCTAATTATTCATATTGAGCAGCCCATATTCCTAGTTCAAATTAACAAATGTGAACGATCAAAATTTTATTTTGAGTTTTACTTAATTTATTTTGTCATTGTTAATCGGGTTGCAATAATTTAAATTTGGTTGAACAATTTTATCTTATGATTATGCTATGTTTATTTGAATTATGAATGTTACAAATTTTGTGTTATGATAAATGATGAAGACTTTTTATGTTATGTTTTATTTTATATGAATGTTTAATAATTTATAATTTTAAATGTCGTAATTTGTATAATCTATAAATTTAATCTGTAAAATTTAATAGGTTTTAAATTGAATTAGATCAAGTGTGAAGAAATTTCGGATCGAACATGAATTCGAAAATTTTGAATCAAATTGCGAATTGAACCCCCCCTTACTTTCTCATGTTCATGCCTCTTTTTCCCCGTGAGCCTATTCCATACTTGACGAACGCAGACTACCACTCGGCACATACTGATTAATTGTAATCAAATTAAATGAACAAATAATAATCTCATATTTGGGCGCTAGCCGTTAAAATAAAGCAAACCAACGTCCACAGGAACGAACCTTACAGTTAAAATCGAAAGCCAGTTTGCCAGTTTCAGCGAGACAGAGTGAAAGCTAATTCTATCATGACCGCATGCTTTTCTTCCTTTCTTCTCCGTCCCTCAATCACAACTACGGAACTGTGTTTTCCATGGCATCCTCCAAACCCTAATCGCAAAATCTATCCCATTATTCTCAGAAAAGACTCAAACTTTTCGCCTAGAATCTTCGCCAGAGTTCTCCAACAAGGTACCGGCGTTGTGTCGCCGGACGAATTTTCTTTGCAGACACCGCCGGTTGAGACCAAGGGAGATGAGAAAAAAGACGCCCATCGGGTTTTCGATGAGTTTGTGGTGGCGGACTCCGAATCCGAAGATAAGGCCCTAAGTTCCTCGACTAGGGCTAAGAAGAAGAGAGAGAGCGAGGACGGATTCAAGAATAGGTTTAAGCTGCGGAATGGGAGGGAGGTTCGTGTCTTTTTGGGTTACGATTTTTATTGTATGATTGATTACCGAGAAAAAGTTGTATCGGGAAAGGAACAAGACGAAATGGGGAAGTGAGGACAGGAATTGAGTGCGATTATGATTGATTTTGAACTTCTTGACTTGAATTCTCAGTGGGAGAGAAGTAAAGCAACATTTTTTCTTTTGTTCAGGTTTTTGAAGAAAGAGCGTATCTTGTTGGTGTTGAGCGCAAGGGCGATACAGAGAACTCGTTTGGTATAGAAGAATCGCTTAAAGAATTGACCCAGTTGGCAGACACTGCTGGACTTATGGTTGTTGGTTCCACATATCAAAAGCAAGTATCTTATATATATATATATATATATATATATATAGACAAACGCACACACACTATAAGCCTACAATAGTGTTTCTTGACTCCAAAATCCAAAAGCTGGCTATGATAGACATGGTAGTATGATCATATACTGCAGATTAGCTTCTCCGAACCCAAGGACATACATTGGATCTGGCAAGGTAGCAGAAATCAAGAGTGCAATTTATGCATTGGGAGTCGAGACTGTAATATTTGATGATGAACTTTCAGCAGGGTAAGGACTAAGGACCAAATGCATCATATAGATATTTTTACCTTCAGCTGGTTCAAATATCTTGGTGATTATTGGTTCTTTGATGTGGGCTTTGATTTAAGAATTACTGAAATTTTTAACTATTCTGGCCGTAATTCTTGTGATCATTTTTGGCGGAAACATGGATCTTTTATGATGACTTCGTCTTAGTTTCTAATATGAATTTCTTAGGAGTATGATAAATCTTAATTACTGATGTTGGTTTTTCTTAACATTTATTTTCTTATTTTTTAAATTTTTTTAAAGACAATTTTTATATGTTACTGTTACAGACAATTGCGCAATTTGGAAAAGACTTTTGGTGGAGATGTGAGAGTTTGTGATCGAACTGCTCTCATCCTAGATATCTTTAACCAGCGGGCAGCAACACATGAAGCAGCTTTGCAGGCAAATTTTTTCCTTATCCTCAAATATGATATTATCCTTTTTAATTGGTCAGAACAAGATATTTGGCATAGTAGAAGTCCCACGTTAAGATTCCGTTCTTCTTTTTAGTCCTCTTCCCTGTTCACTTGATGATAAATGCGAAAAGAATGAATTCTCAACTAGTTTACATCACTACTATGTTTTTTCCAGGTTGCATTAGCACAAATGGAATACCAGTTACCTCGACTAACAAAAATGTGGGCTCATCTTGAACGTCAAGCAGGAGGCAAGGTTAAAGGTATGGGAGAGAAACAAATTGAAGTCGACAAGCGTATCTTACGCACTCAAGTAAGCACCTCTTGTGCTCTTTGTATATAGGATATTTATTTTCCTTGTGTGCACAGTGGATCCTTCCTCTGTTGCTTTATATCAGGAAAGTGTGGTTATTATATTATCTTTTCCTCTAGGAAGCTTATTTTTATTTGCCTCGTTCCACATGAAATTTACTTAAGTTTCTTTTATTGTTAGATTGGCGTTCTGAAGAAGGAACTGGAATCTGTTAGAAAGCATAGAAAGCAGTATAGGAATAGGCGTACTTCTGTACCTGTCCCGGTGGTGTCCTTGGTAAGTGAGTATATAAATTATCTGTTATTGAGACCTCCTATATCTGTTGATGATTGTAGACATCTAATGCTTTGCACAAGACTCTAGGTTGGTTACACAAATGCTGGGAAGAGTACACTTCTAAATCAGTTGACTGGAGCTGGTGTACTTGCTGAGGATAAATTATTTGCAACCCTTGATCCAACTACTAGAAGGGTTCAGGTCAGCCACTCGTATCTGGGGAATCTTCTTTTCACGAAATGATTAGGAGCTATGTATCATCTGAAACATTTAAAGAGAAATAATTGAAGTGAGCTTTGATTTGCTTGCAGTAAAGCGGGGCTCTGGTCATAGTACATAACCTCCCAACTGAAATGCTAGAAATTCTTTTTACTTTTATCACAATTAAAATACGCTGTTGAGCGTTTATTCTAGTGCCTTAAACTAATTTGAGCAATTCCACTTCTAGTTGCGTTGTTGAAATGGGATGTTTGTATCATTTGCTTGCTTTTAGATAAAGAACGGGAAAGAGTTTCTTCTCACGGATACTGTTGGTTTCATTCAAAAGTTACCGACTACGCTGGTGAGATTCTTTTAACTTGTGGAGAACTCTGCCACTATCATTTCACTTTGTCACTGTCGATTGAATTTGTCTCCTCTTGTAGGTTGCTGCTTTCAGAGCAACGTTAGAGGAGATATCAGAATCGTCATTATTGGTGCATGTGGTGGATATCAGGTATGATTTGTAGATCCTTTAAAGAGATCCATTCCAGTTTCCAGATGATAAATTTGTAAATCTTATTAGATTTTGCTATGAATTTCAGTCATCCCTTGGCCCAGCAACAGATAGATGCTGTGAACAAAGTCCTATCGGAGTTGGATGTCTCGTCAATTCCAAGGTTGATGGTCTGGAACAAGGTAGAGGCAATAGTTTTTTCAATGTCTAAGTTACTAATGTGGTAGTAGAAATTGCAGATTTGTTTTTCCTCATTTATATAATGTAAAATAAGTAGATTTAGTCGCTTCACTTAACAAATGCCTGAATTATGATCTGTTGAAATGCCAAACAAAAGAGAGGGAACAAAAAAACGAACAACCTATTGAAATGTACAAGTTTTATTGTATATTGATAATTGAGTCTATTATTAGATTTTTTTTTTTAAATTTTTTATAAAAAGAACAGCCCATTTTTCCTCGTTTATGATTGATGATATGAGTGCTACTATTATAGGTTGATAAGGTTGCCAGCCCCGAAACAGTAAAGTTGGAAGCAAACAAGAGAGATGATGTTGCTTGCATATCTGCTCTAAATGGGGATGGCTTGCTTGATTTCTGTAATGCTGTTCAAGAAAAGTTGAAGGTACATAGCAGTCGTTGATATTTCTAAACAAATTATAAGTGCAGTAGGTGTTGTGCTTAAACAAATTAAAAGGATATTATTTTCCTTTTCCGCTAATATCACATATTATTTTCACAACAGGATTCTATGGTATGGGTTGAAGCCTTGATCCCTTTTGAAAAAGGGGAGCTTTTGAGTACTATACATCAGGTTGGAATGGTAGAGAGAACTGTAAGTGATCACACCGATATCGATTCAATTACTTTTCTTTTCTTTGTTTCTTTTTCTTATTTTCCCTGTTATCGTATTGTCTGTGTGCGCTATATTGTGAACTTCAGATACCTTAAGTCCTTAAGTTGTGTATGAGTGCTTCTTCCTTAAATTGTATTGACATTAGATACCTCAACTTTTTTTAATCTTTGCTGAGCCACGCCTTGGTTTCTCAAATATCTCGCCTTCCCAAAATTTTGTAGGAGTATATGGAGAATGGGACGTTAGTCAAGGCACATGTCCCCCTTCGATTTGCAAGGCTGCTTACACCTATGAGACAAGTTTGTATTACATAGTTGCGATTTTCTTCAAAGACCGCAAGTATAGTGAAAGATTTACTCATTGTTCTTTGATATACAAGTTCCATACTTCGATTTAGCTGGCGAAAGACGTTACTCGTATTGCACTGTAAAAGGGTCTGCGGTTGGGTGTCAGTGTTTATTGTTTGTACATATGTTCTTGTAATATCTCTCTGTTGGGTACTAAACTTAAGTGCCTGAAAAATATGAAGACATTGAAAATTAGTTAGTTTATACTAATCAATCGCTAGAGTTTATCCAATTCATATTGATTTTTTAACTATGTTGTTAACAACAATGCTATGTGTATATAAATGTACAAGGAAAGCGTGAAGTATACTGTGTTTTTTTTTTTTTTTTTTTTAATTGAAGACTGGTGAACAGACGCTGAAATTGGAAACGCGGAGACCTTTTTATATTAATTTCTTAAATTGGCTATAAAAATTATTGAAGATGTTTGGCAATATTTTTATAATATCGTTACTCATCGTTCCTTTTTTTTTTTTTTTCCTGAGATGAGAATTTTCACAGCATATTTTTTTCTTAAATCTTATCAAAACATGACCATATTCTTGAGCTAAAATTGCTATAAGCAAAACTCAGTGAAGCACTCACAACAACTCATTGAAGTTTGGCAGTAACTGTATTTAAAATGATAGATGCTCGTTTAAAATATTGTATGCTACGAAAGGTGCTACTTGCAGTTGGATAAATCATATATACTAGTATTTAAGGAAAAAAAAAAAAAAAAAAAAAAAAACACAAGTGTGAAGCTAAATCATGATTTCTACTCTTGAAATTAAAATGTACCCGAATTTACAAGGAATTTGCATGTGTTTGGTTCCGTCTGCTCGCGCTCAATCTGAACGCAACAGAAGTACATCAACTTCTAAAACTAATCCATTGCAACAGCCAAAGACACAGTCCAACTCAATCATGTGATCATGTCTGAATACCGACACCACCATTTTAAGATTTATAGTAAGTTGAACATATCTTGTTAGCTTAAACCTTGACGTTCTTTATATAGAAAGATTTACCTACTCCTCTAAGCTCTAGCGTCTGTCCCTTATTTTTGTGTTAAATTTAATCTTAGCTTGAGATTTCCTAATACATCAGTTATAAACAGAATAATACAAGTCCCATGCAGTTCATTTCGACTTCATATAGATGCATAAAAACAAGTATGATCCATAGGATGAGGCAAACCAAGGTCCCTAATCCATTTGTTGATAGAGCAAGGACATTAAAGTGTAATATTACAGATACATACAAATCTGTGTTTGGAGCAGGTGATACCAAAAACACTGTTTCTGCCCACACTCTCTGACACATATTCCGAAGTCAAAAAGTCCATAATAGATTACAAATTGACACGGTCTTTAGCCCATGTGAGGTGTTCAAGCGAGGAGTTGGTAGGAGTGGTTGATTTGATACCTTGAGAGCTCTATAAAATTCCACAACCAATTGACCAATCGCTACAAGAGTAGACATTTTCCGCAACTATACTCTAATCAATCTATATGGCTATCTTAAGAGAATTTCTTGGCCTTGTGCTCGTCACTTTCCTCTCATCCACACTCTCCCTAGCTCACCCGGATTTCAACTTTGGGTGGGGCGGACATGGTGGGATAACGGGAGGGTCTTTTGGTCTTTTCCCAGAATTCTATCAATCCTCGTGCCCTCAAGTTGACGACATTGTCATGTCTGTTTTGGAGAAGGCCATTGCAAAGGAGCCGAGAATGGCTGCCTCTTTGCTTAGGCTTCATTTTCATGACTGCTTCGTTCAGGTCTTTTCATATTTATATTCTTTGTTAACATACATTAATATTTGACGTTGTGAAATGAAGATGTTTTGAGTTACGTACTAAACTCTATATATATAACGTGACAAACAGGGTTGTGATGCGTCAGTGCTGTTGGACGACCGTGCAACGATAGCGAGTGAGAAGAGGGCGGGACCAAACAGTAATTCCATCAGAGGATTCGAAGTGATCGATGAGATCAAGGCCAAGTTAGAAGCAGCATGTCCTCACACTGTCTCTTGTGCTGACATTCTTGCTCTTGCTGCTCGTGGCTCCACTGTACTGGTAAAGTAAATAGTGATAAGGCCACGTACGGCTTACACTCTATCTCATATTACATGATGCAAGTACACTAGCCATGATTATATATGTAACATTGTACTATTGGTACTAACATGTTGATCATTAGTTATGTTTGAGTAGTCATCAAACTTCCTTCATTTTTTGTCGTATTGTTTAGAAAAAAAATAAGAAGAATTGGGGTACAAAGAACGCATCTTTAACCGTAAATTCTTCATATTTTGATCAAGTTTCATCAAATTATCATGTAGATACATTTTTTTTTTTAAATATGATTATGATGTGATGTACATGTGATAGTTGAGTTATCGAAAAGGTTACTAATAAAATTCTTATACCTGTGATGTTGTTGATTTTGGTGAAATAGAGCGGTGGACCCAATTGGGTGCTGCCACTAGGGAGGAGGGATTCTAGAAGTGCTAGTCTAAGCGGCGCAAACAACAACATTCCCGCACCAAACTCGACTATCCAAATCCTTGTAACTTTCTTCAAGCGTCAAGGCCTTAATAAAGCGGACCTTGTTGCACTCTCAGGTCAATATTCCATAATCTCATCTTCATACCAACATTTTTTTTTTTTTTTTTTGGTATTATCTAATTCTCAAAAGTTTTCCAAAATTAATATACAGGAGGACATACAATTGGGGTGGCAAGATGTGTGACATTCAAGCAAAGGCTGTACAACCAAAACGGGAACAACCAACCCGATTCAACCCTTGACAGGACCTATTACTATGGTTTGAAATCAGTTTGCCCAAGATCAGGCGGTGACAATAACATCTCTCCTTTGGACTTTGCTTCTCCTGCGAGATTTGACAACACTTACTTCAGGCTCATACTATGGGGAAAAGGGCTTCTCACTTCAGATGAAGTGCTTTGGACAGGAAACGACAGAAAGACCATGGAACTTATCAAGAGCTACGCAGAGAATGAGAGCCTTTTCTTCGACCAATTTGCCAAGTCCATGGTTAAGATGGGGAACATTAGCCCTCTCACTGGATTCAACGGTGAAGTTAGAAAGAATTGTCGCAGAGTTAATTGATGAGGGGCAAAAGGGGGAAAAAAAGATACAAAATTATGTTTCTATATGTTCAAGAATGCTTAGTTTATATATTCTTGTTTTGAAAAAAAAAAAAAAAAGTTTTATAAGTTTATTGTGTGACCTTCGTTTATGATAAGTTCATGTATGCATGTTTGGGAATGGATTAATGAATGAGAGTTCCAGAAGTAACTCGTTGATAAAGCAAAGACTCTTCTTTCTTTTTACCTTTTTTTTGGCGGATATTTCATACTATTTACTATTTCACATATTCTTCTTACTTAACCTCCTCGTAAACTTTATTACAAGACAAAATGTTGACTAACTTCACAATTGTGCTTGACAAAAACCGCAATGTGGAGTGCAGGAGCAACTTTTAGGCCTCTTGCAAGATAAGATTTCAATTGAAAGATTTTTTTATATTAAAAAAAAAAAGTCATTCCAATCAAATAGTAATCATAATACTTTTTCATGAAGACAAGGTTATCCCATGTATCAAACGAGGGCTTAGTTCTTGTCAAACAGTAATTAAGCGGACAGAAACATCATTTTCTTTGCACCTACTTTGTTAATACCTTTTGAGGAATTAACTTTAGTTCTCGTGCACTAAAGACCAAAGTATCTAATTTATATATATTCTTTTCTCTCTTCACGGTTGATGCCTTTCCAGGGACATGTACTCCATCTTAAGTTTCTAAATTCCAACCCACAAAAATTGTTCTTTTCTGCTTGGCTTTGCTTATGTTTCTTTCTCTCTTTATTCTTTTTCCTTGCTTTGCTTTCATAACCCCTCTCTCTCTCTCTCTCTCTCTCTCTCTCTCTCTTTTTAAAAAAAAAAACTTTCTCCTTTCGCTAATTAATTACTAACTTTTCACATCTTGTTCAAATTGTCGTCCAACTGTAACTCAAAAGCAACACCGTATAACAAGTGAGATCCTCCGGTTGAGTCATTGATGGTATTAATATTTTTTTTTTTTTTTGGCTCAAAAAAATAAAAGAAGAGATGATTAGTGTTATTCTGCCTTCATTTTCTCGTCACTTGAAAAATTTCAAAGACACGGCAATGAATATAGAGAACTTGATTGATTCCCACTAGAAACAGAGGCCCGTTTTTCCCAATGCCACCACACACCCTACATCACATGACACATTGTCGGATAAGAGTCTTAAAGTGAGGCTGGGGAGTGTTAGAGTGAACCGCTGCACCAACCCATAGATGTTCGGTAACACTAGGACACTTTAATTTAAAGAGAAAAATGAGAAAATATGCCCCCTTAACTCACATTTTTAATTCTGTATTTTTTATTTAAAATTCCATTCTCTATAAATTGGTATATAATAGGAACAAGTGAGAGCAGGAATTTATAATATTTTAAAAAAGTATAAATCTTACATCCTACGTTGTTCTCATTGTTGGAATAATGCTCTTAGGTATTAACTACACTCCGCTTCAGAATTAAGCTCATTTAATTCCGTTTTAATGATTGGGCTTCGTAATTTAGTCCACGGTCAATTGTAAGCCCAAAATCTTACGGACCAAGTCAACCCCAGTCTGCGTAATGTAGAATCTCTGTATTTAAACATCCAAAAGCTTCTCTTAAGCCCACTCCTACTGGCAGTAACGCCAATCCAACAGTGTCTCACTAACGGTCGGTGAAACTCGAATGCATAGATATCTTCTGTAAAAACGTATCCTGTGTCGAGGAGGCAGGAGGCCGAGATTGGATCTCCGACGCCCTCGTTGCCGTTGCAGATCCGAGAGGAGAAAACCTAGCAATGCCAAAATCACTTCTTAGATTTCGAAAAGCTAAGTAGAAGAAGACGACGAAGAAGAAGAAGTTGGAAGAATGGCTAAGCAAAGTAGTGCTTGGGTGGGGATGCAGAAGAATAGGTGGGCGTTGGTGGTTTTGGCGCTGTTTTCACTTTCGACGGCGATGGTGTTCTTCATGAGAACTGCTTTCGATTCGTGTAGCGCCGGTGCCGGCAATGACTTCGGAGAAGGAAAAGGGAGAGAGGTTGAGGCTAGCTCTGTCGGTCGAGTGCGGAGTGAGGAGCCGAATCCTCTGGGGTTTATGAAATCCAAGCTTGTTCTCTTGGTTTCTCACGAGCTTTCTCTCTCTGGTACTGTTCTCGATCTCAATTTTGCTATTCGCTTTTGTTTTTTTGTGTTTTTGTTTTTTTTTTTTTTTCGTGTGGTTCTTGGAAAAGAATAATAAAAGTGGCCGAAAAAAGAAAAGGAAATTAAAAGTGCTATAATTCTTTGGGGTTTTTTTTTTTTTTTTTTTTTTTTTTGAGCTACTTTTTTTTTTGGTTTTCCTTTTACTTTCTCTTTCGCTTCTTTTTTTTTTTTTTTTTCTTTCCCCTCTCTTTTTAACTTTTTTTCCCCTATTTTTTTTTTCGTAATGAAAAAAAATAAAAAAACAGGAGGGCCATTGTTGCTAATGGAACTGGCGTTTCTGTTGAGAGGAGTTGGTTCGGAGGTTGTTTGGATTACAAACCAGAAACCGGCGGAATCTGACGAGGTGATTCACAGTCTGGAGCGTAAGATGCTCGATCGAGGAGTACAGGTTTATTTTCTTCAAAATTCTTATAAAAATATGACTATTTGCAATTGATTATTATTTAATTTCATGGAAATTTAGAAACTTTTGGGATAATGCTGAGTATGTATTTGGTGAAATTTGGTTGTTTGCCGTTTAGCAAATTTTGACAGATTAAGCTCTGTTTTTGCCAAAGATTGGTCATTACTGTTGCGGAATTTCTTCAATTCAATTGGGTGTTTCCTTTCATTTTTTTGTCCATAAGCAGTAAGCAGCCTTGTAATTTTTAATTTTTGACACTATTAGGTATTCTCTGCAAAGGGTCAAAAGGCTATAGATACAGCTCTTAAAGCGGATTTAGTTGTTCTTAATACTGCGGTTGCTGGGAAATGGCTTGATGGTGTTTTGAAGGAAAATGTTCCTCACGTTCTTCCAAAGGTTTTGTGGTGGATTCATGAAATGCGGGGACATTATTTCAACGTGGAGTATGTTAAGCACCTCCCTTTTGTTGCAGGTGCTATGATTGATTCTCATGCAACTGCTCAATACTGGAAAAACAGGACCCAGGAACGATTAGGGTATGCTTTCGGCATCAATTGTATCATGCTTAATGGGTTATCTTTGTTTCGTTTTTGTGATATATGTGTTTCAATTTGTTCTCTGTAGGATTTCAATGCCTAAAACCTATGTTGTACACCTGGGGAATAGCAAAGAACTTATGGAAGTTGCTGAAGATAGTGTATCCAGAAGGGTTCTCCGAGAGCATATCCGGGAGTCCCTTGGAGTGCGGAGTGACGATCTACTCTTTGCCATCATAAATAGTATGCTTTCCTTGTTAAGATAGTAATCTTTTTTCCTTGGTCAATCTGTATGATTATCTGCCAAAGTTCCTTTCCTTTTTCTGGGGTTTTTTCTCGTCCTGTTTTACTCCGATGCTTCTGACAGTTAAGAGTTAGAGGCTGTTTACTAAGTTCCCATTTTCCATTACAATTCTGTGTTTGTTGAGTTGAATCAAGAAACTAGTTTGTGTTATCTTCTTAGAGTTGTGCAATATTAGTCTGTTTCGGTGTTATTTCCTTGTATTCCTCACAATGCTCAGATTGTGTATACTGTCACCCGGAAATGGAATCTCTGGCAGTACTAGTGGTGTGGGTGTTGAATACCGGTGAACTTTCATCTTTATTTCTTAGAGTTTCACTCCTTTTTCCTTTCATCTTACTTTCCTCTTAGGCATTGGTGAAGAGAGGAGGGTACATCCCCTGCTGAGATAACAGAGAAGTTCTAAAATTACTTTTTACCTTCTTAGAATCAATTTTTTTTTTCCTCTTCAAAGCACATCCTTTATCTATTATTGATATTTTTTAACATTTGCAAGTTGTTCAACCCTTTTTTCCGTTCATGAGCTATGAGCAATGCATATTTCATTTGCCATTAAGAAGGCAGGTTTGCTGGCTTTTGATCTCTTCATAAATCTCACCATCTGATTATAATATTTCTGAGCACCGTGCATCTTCTAAATTGCAGGTGTTTCACGTGGAAAAGGACAGGATCTATTTCTCCGTGCCTTCCATGAAAGTCTGCAAGTCATCCAAGAAAAGAAATTGCAGGTTCCATCTATGCACGCTGTGGTGGTGGGAAGCGACATGAATGTTCAGACAAAGTTTGAAACAGAGCTGCGTAAATTTGTATTAGAGAAGAAAATTCAGGATAGAGTTCATTTTGTGAATAAAACCCTGACTGTAGCTCCTTATCTGGCGGCCATTGATGTTCTTGTTCAGAACTCTCAGGTACTACTTCTAATTATGTTTGGCAATTATCCCGCTACTTAAGCTGCATCAAGATATGTTCCATAACTTCCATTTTTCTATTATTCCCTCCCTTCCATTCTTTGGCATTTAGAAATTTTTATGACTTTTCGTGAGTGAACTTTTGGATTATGACTTTCTTTTTGTGTGTAGGCCCGGGGAGAGTGTTTTGGAAGAATAACTATTGAAGCAATGGGTTTTCAGCTACCTGTATTGGTATGTCGCTTGCAACAGGGTTTTTCTTTCCTAATGCGTCATCCACTAATGCATACATCTAATTCATTTGGCTTTGATGATTGAGCAAAAAACATTGTTGCTGCCACTTATCTCTGCCTTTTTGGTTGACACAAGTATAACCCATGCATGAGCAGGACGGCCAGAGAAATGAGGCATCTCAAGTTGGTTCTAATTTATCTTCTTCTTGATGTAGGACCGGTAGAATAGAAGAATAAATATAGAATTTAGAGAGAGAACAGAATCAATAAGAAGAAACGGAACAAAGATAGAGAAGAATAATCAAGAGAGAGATAGAAATTCAAGAAAAACAAGAACCCAAAAGGGAGAAACCAATAATCTCAATATCATTAATCATCAAAAGCCTTAATAAAAATAACAATCACTAATCTACTTATAGAGAATGAAATCCTAATCCAATTCTAAAAAGGCGATAAATATAAAAAAAATTTAAAAAATAAAAAGATAAACATAATCCTAAAATCAAATTTAAATATTAAAATAATCCTAATCTAATTTGTCATCACTTCTTCTTCTTTTTATTTTATTTTATTTTTTTATTTTTTTATTTTTTTGTAAAGAAAGATGAGGGCTAATGATATCAACAGAAATGGCCCTTCATTTGAAGATTTTGTCGTTAAAAGTGTGTGCAGTTTGGTTTTTTGCTTTCGCCCGTTGATATTCGTATCTTTACTAATTGGGTTTACTTTTTCAACTAGTTTAAAACTGCTATTCATTTTTCCCCCCTTGCGTTTGACAATATTGCAGGGGACAGCAGCTGGAGGAACCATGGAGATTGTATTAAATGGCACGACGGGCTTCTTACATCCCGTCGGTAAAGAAAGCGTGACACCACTTGCCAATAACATAGTGAAATTGGCTACGCATGTCGAGAGAAGGATGACAATGGGCAAACAAGGATATGAGAGGGTAAAGGAGAGGTTTTTGGAACACCACATGGCTCATAGAATTGCTTTGGTTTTGAAAGAAGTTTTGGCCAGGGCAAAGAGCAGCAACAATTCTTAACTCTCAGCCGCACTTCACAACGGATGGTATGTGAGAAGGCAGTTCAAAGCCTAATTTTTTTTTTTTTTTTTTTTTTTTACCATAGAAAACAAGTAATTTGGTAAATATAAAGGGGGTTCATGATATACAAGTCATTTCACTCGGTTTAAACGGTGCATTGTAATATGGTGATGAGATTCAAAGAATCAAGTCATTCCTGTCGGTCCAAAGTACGCATTGTAAAATTTGTTTAAATAGAGGGAGATAATTGATTCGGTCTTTGGGGGACAGACGATTTCTTTCAGTGTTCAGCTCTTTCTTACGAAGAGAATTTTCCCTTCCTTTTGATATATAACGGCCAAGAAGTATCCATGGGCGTGTACGCTTTGTAATGTGAGGCTGTGAGCATACTTTTCTCTATTTTCATCTGAATCCTTTGTATTATCAGTGGGATTTTATTTTTATTTTTTCAAAAAAAGACCAAGGAACTGCCCGCAAAGAACTTACTTTGTTTGATGGCTTACCTTGTTGAGCGGTTAACTGAACCTGTTCCGGTGGAACCAAATCAATCGCCAACTCTTAGGATTCGTTGGTAAGGGGGTTCAAATTGAACCTTGTGAGTTTGAATAGGTTTTGTGGGGTTCAAACCTTGAGAATTCAAAGGGTATTTGAGTTTAGAAATTCTTTTATTTCTTAAATCTTGAGTTCTGAAATGTCATATTAAGGGTTCAAATCTCTTCTTACTTTCTGCAAAACAAATACAGATTTGGACTTGAATTTGAGTTCAAACCCCTCTTAACTATTCTTGATGGATTCAGAATCATTCTTGATTTACGTATATTTTTTGTGAGAAAAAATACTATAATGAGTTACGAATTATGACACAAATCCTTACAAAATGCACCGTAAATGACCCCTTAAACTAAAGATATGAACCCATACCACACTTCTCTAAACTAAGGGTCATTACCTATCTAGTTATAGAGAGGATCAAAGCGTCGAAGTCTTTGACTCAAAATAAAAAATATAAATATTTTAGCTAAAAAAAGTAAGAAATATCAATAGATGTTCATTTCTCTCACGAATTTGAACCACATAAAAATTTTGGCTTTTTTGCATGGGACATTTCTTAACTTCTTGTGATTAATAATCTGGTCTTTAAACCCTTTTTTTTTTTTTTTTTGCAATTGATTTCTTAACATTTGAAATTCTTTGTAATTGAGGTTTAATTAAAAACGAACGGAAGACGTTTAGTAAAGAGATTTATACTATGATTTGAATCATAGTTCATGATTTATTATAGTATTTTTTTTTAACAAAAAATACATATAAATTAAAAATAATTTTAATTTTATAATTCTAATTCATAAATCAAACGTCGTATGGATTTGATCACGGGACAAGCACGTGACTTTTCTTTAAGGGTATTATATGGTCATTTCATTGAAGAAATGAACCCTTCTTCGAGAAAAAAAAAAGAAAAAAAAAAGGTTCTCTTCCCCTCTCTGACTCTCTCTTTGATGAACAAAACAAACGTAGGGAAATGAAAAAAACAGAAAACAAAACAAAAATAAGAATCCTAGCCCACGCCGTTCTTCACGCTCTCTTACTCTCTCTCTCTCTCCGATTAATCTGGGTTTTGCAATCGCCGTCCACGCCCTCGCGCTCCGAACTCCCACCCACACCGAACCCAGCCGCCAATCGTCGCCTCCCAGCTCGTCTTCGCCGCCCTCGCGCTCGTCTTCGCCGTTCAGAAAGGTGGGTTTTTCTTTTCCCTCTTCAATCTAACTTAGAGAATTTTTAGTTTTATTTGTTTTTGTTATTAGGTTTTTTCTTTATTCTGATTTATCCAAGTGTTTGGAAAATAAATTGATGAATCTGGGTGTGTTTTTGGGATGAGAATTATGAGCTTCTGGGATGAGGTAATTTCCAACTGGGATGAGGATTATGAGCTTCTGGGATGAATCTCGGTAAGCAAGCTTTTTCTATTGTCAATTGATAGTTTTGTTAAGCAAAATTGATTTAAACTTCAGTTATCAAGTTTCGGATCTGATGTTGAGCACTTGAGCTTTGTGGTGGAGGTTTTCTTCGCGAGCAATGATGAAAATATCGGTATTGTTGAAAATATCAGAATTTCAGTTTTATGGAAATAGAGAGAAAATATCGTTGGTGGAAATATTGAAAAAACTTACAAAAATTAGTAAAATTTAGATTACAACATATTTTTAATAATTTTTTTGAGAGCATAAACATTAAAAAGATACGTAAATAAACAAGTTTTATGCAAAACAAAATTATATATATTACGGGTTTGTTCTTTTAGAGTTTAACTTGAGTATAATTCTTAAGTTAAATTTGAGTTATAACTTGAGTTGAACTTGTAACTTGAATTTGTGTTTGGTTGTGTACATTTGAGTTATGGTTTGAGATAATAATTTTTTTGAGTTTGTGTTTGAGTGAGTCAAAACGTGAATTTGTATTTAGATAGTATTTTAATACAAACTCAATGCTGATGAAAAATTTTAATAAGGTATATGGGTCGGGTTTTATTCGTCTTTTCGTTGTCAACGCATAGAAAAAAAATCATCTCAATTAAAATTAAAACGAAAAAGTTATAGCATTTTTAAGAATAGAAAAAATATTGTTCATTAATTTGAGTTCGAGTTTCTAAACTCGAGTTGAAGGGGAAACTTGAACTCGAGTTTTAGTCATAAACTCGAGTTTGAACTCGAGTTTAAACTTAAAAGAACATGAACTCAAATAAAGTTGTAACTCGAATTATTTTTTTTTGAGTTTTTCACTCAAAAGAACAAGCCCTACATTTCTTAATACTAAAAGGAAGTTGAGTTTCAAACGTGGTTAGGATCCCAGTTTGATTCAAATAATATTGGTATTATGACATGTTATTTGAATAATATCGAACATAGTTATGAAATGTCATATGTAGATTTGTTGATCCCTTTCCACTGTATTTTTATGAATTGAAAATTGTGAATTCTCCCAATCGTTTATCTGAGATGATGGTGGTATGTTCGGATGAGGATAATTAAAAATTTCATATCCATTATAGTTTATAGAATTATGATTATATGGATAATGAACTTTAGGAGTCTCATTAGAAGAGTTGTAATAATTGAAACTCAAATTTATCGATTGTAAACTCATAAAAAGATTATCTTCATCAGATGTTTGCATTCTTGACATTTCTAACTCTCTCCTTACTAGATGACAAAAGAAATAATGCAAAAAAAAATTGATATTATAAAGCAAATTTAAACAAGAAAGCAAAAAATTAAAAATTAAAAATTTATGTTCTCAGAAAGTTCTCGATATTCTGTCCCAATTACATTGTATGCAAACTAATATGGACATTTCTTTGATTGAGCTTGATGGAAAACTGGCTGTGAGGAACTCCTCTGGCCAAGGTGAGGAGTGGGGTCATCCCTGTGGAATAAATCCAATAAATGGAAACCTGGCTGTGTCGCAAGGTCTAACGACCGCTCTGAATGGAGCTTGCTTTCAAAAAAGTCACGGGGCGTACTATAGATTTAAACAAACGTAATCAATCCCAGACCCAACAGGGCAACGTTTTTTCCTTCCCTCAAACCAACAACTCCCGTTTTTCCCAAGTCTGAAGATAGATATGAATCCTTCGCCTCAGATGAGCGGATTATCTCATTTTTCCGCTTTTGGGCTATGTGTCTTTTCCCTTTCCCAGAGATGTGTGTGATCAAAGCCTTTCGGGCGGAATAAGATATTACACCGGATTCAGGTATGGTAAACTGATATTTTTGATATTTTCTTAATATTTCGAAGATATTGATATTATGGTGAAAAAAAATAGGAACCTTAAAAATCCAAAATTTCCACCGAAATTTCGGAAATTTCAGCAAAATTTTTGTCCATGTGTGTGAGAGAGTTTCTGGGTTTTTTTGTATTGAAGAAGATGAAGTTCTTGTATTGTTTCTAGGTTTTATGTTACTAACCCTCATATTTTTGTTTCTGGGTTTTTTTGTATTGAAGAAGATGAAGTTCTTGTTCTTCTTTTTTTTTTTTAATCTTTAATTACGTTTTTAAGGTTAATTTTTAAAGTTGATTTAACTCAAGATCTCAGTTTTTCTTAATTAAAATATAAATTGAGTTCAATTTGTATTGGTTTTAAAATTAATAATCAAATTTGAGTTGGAATGGAATAAAATGACCATTGGGCCCTTTTTTATTATGCATGTGCTGCTCACGTGTGACAAATCTGCCACAATTTGATGACCGTTTTCAATTGGGCCCGAATTGCATAGGATTTATAATGTTAAGGAGTTGATTGCAAAAAAAAAGGGACCAAATTGCCAATCTCAAAAATTTTAGGGGGTCTCATGCAAAAAAGCCTAAAAATTTGTTTACTACAAATTTTTTTCTCAAAAAAAAATTCTAACTTATGATCCAAATGGCACTCTAATTTTAGGAAAATGATGTCAACAAAGGGTCTTAAAAAAAAGAAAAGAGTATTATACAATACCTATAGAAGGTCGAAGTTTACTGTTTTTGAACATTAATTTTCTTTTTTGCCTTTTATTTTTCTTTTTTTATAATATAAACAGTAATTTTTAGGGCTTTATAAAAATAACTCAATAGAAAAATTTTATTAATAAAATAATTTTTTAAAAATTTTTATTTATAAAATGATCATTTTTATAAAGAATGATTAGGTGAAGGTATTCTAGCGTATTTCTCAATCGGCGGCTATTATATGTTTTTTTCCTTTTCTTCTCTCCGAAACACGTTGCTCTCTGAAATTTTCCTTCTCTTTCGATCTTCTGTTTATTCTCTCCTCGCGGTTCTTCTCTTCTCTCCCACGCAGTTGTCGGTTTGGCTTTTGGATTTTTTTCTCGATGTTGTTCTTCTCCGTGCCTGAAATTTTTTTCCTCCTCTCTCTTCCCGCGGTTCTTCTCACCTCTCCGAAATAGTTGTCGCTTCAGCTTCTGGATTTTTCTTTGTCTTTCGGTCTTCTGTTTGCCTTTTGGATGTTGTTTTTCTGCATTTCTTTGGCTTCTGGTTTTTTCTTTTTCTTTTTCTTTGGGTCTTATGTTTTTTTCTCGGTTTTGTTTTTCTCCATTTCTGAAAAAAAATTTCCTCTTTCTCTTCTTCCGGTGTGTTGTGGAGTTGATCTGCCGTAATCTTCAAAGTTTTTTTTGTTTTTTCACTATTGGTTTTCTATTTTCCTATCGTTTTTATGCTTTCCTGATATTTTTCCTCTTCTTACAGTCGTGTTTTAGGGTTTCGTCTTATGTTTTTTTTAATAGGCCTTTCGGTCCTTTTGTTTTTATGTTTTCTTTTCGATCTTTTTCTTTTTCTTGCAGTTGCCTTCTCTCTGGAATAGTTGTTGCTTTGGCTTTTGGATTTTTCTTTTTGTCTTTTGGTCTTCTATTTGCTTTCTCGATGTTTTTTTTTTGCATTTCTTTGGTTTCTGGTTTTTTCTTTTTCTTTGGGTCTTATGCTTCTTTTCTCGGTTTTGTTTTTCTCCATTCCTGAATTTTTTTTCCCTTCTCTCTTCTTCTGGTGTGTTGTGGAGCTTATTTGCCTTAATTTGCAAAGTTTTTGATTTTTTACTCTTGATTTTCTCTTTTCCTTTCGTTTTTTTTTTTTTGTAATTTGGGATTTTATTTTATGACTAATCCTTTTTTTTTTTTTACAGGGACTCTTGCAATTTGTTTGGGTTTTGGTTTTGTAAGCGCGTCGGCCGTTCAAATTTTTATGTTTTGGACGTTTTTACGATGATAAGGTAAGAAAAAATTAAATGTCTGCATTTTTATTTTTTTCTTTGATGGGCTAAATTTGTTAATTTTATTTGTCGGGATAAAGATCTAGCTGTTTGCTTTTTTTCCTATTATGATCTTTGTTCGCAACGTTATTAATCGATACACACTGATCTTTTTCGTATTCTATTTGTTTGTAAAATAATCAGTTTGTTTTTAATGTGGTTTTGACTGTGGTATTGTGTTTATATTTTCCTTGGACACGTGTTTTTGTTCTGCTGTAATTCTTTATAATACGTATCTTATTTTTACTGTCTGTTGATTATTGGTTCCGTTTTCGTTTGGTTTTCATGCTCCGTGACACCTATTGTTAGTGAATGATTATACCAGTTCAGGTTTGTTTTCAGCTGTTCTTATCTGATAATAAGGAGAAATTTGTTTTTTCTGTATATAAATAATGTGTTCTACTGTGTTGTTGCAATTTGTCATCTTGTTTCTCTTTTCATTCTTCAACTATAATAATCTACTATTTTCTACATTCTCTGTTTTCCTGCTCTTTACAGATTTTATTGATATTAGACTTCTATTAGTATCTTTATTGTTTTGTGGATCTTGCGTTCATCTGTCTGCACTGGTTAGTTTTGGATATTGAGTTGTTCCGTTTGCTTCTCTCTGTTTTGGAGTTTTAGTTGTTTTGCTTTGTCTACTCTGTCCATTCTCCTTCGATTGAGGTATTTATTTCTTAATTTGTACATGTTTTTATTTTCTTTATAGTATTTTGGTTTTAAATATGTGAGTATAATAACATACCAATCTTTATATTATTTGTTCTCCTGTTCAGTGATCAGTTTGTTTTTTTTACAGTTTTGTTGTTCTCTGGTGATGCTGATGTATTTTTCTTTTATTGTTACCATGTAATGGGTAACTCTTAATGATGATTTAGCATTGTTTGGATTATTTGGGATTTATGCTATTGTTTTTTTTATTCTTCAACATATATTTTTCTTTAGTTAATGTCATATAGGAGGTCGAAATATATTGTTCTTTGAACATTAAACTGTTTTTTTTTTTTTTTTTTTGCCCTTTCTCTTCTTTTTCTTTATTTTTCGTGTGAATTCCCCGTGTTTTGGACTTCAGCTGGCTATTATGTTTTTTTTTCCTTTTTCTCCTCTTCGAAACACCTCGATCTTTATTTTTTTCCTTTTCTTTTCCCGTGTTTGTGAATCAACAAGGACCATCTTGCCATCCTAAAGCGCTCATAGTATCATTATGAATATATAAACGAAAGCTGTGAAAGCCTAATACAGATTTTTTGGGATTTACATTATTATGTCGTTCTTCTCCAACTTTTTCTTCATGTTCTCCCTATGGTGGCCTATCTCTTTTGTCTCTCAATTTCTTATTGTGATGTTCGGGGGCTTAACATTTTCAGTCTCTTTTCTTCTCTCATTTTGTCCTCCTTCTATTCTTCATTGATTTCTCTTCTGATTTCTTACTCTTTCTAAATCCAGAAACTTCCTTCTATTCTTCATTTTCTTCATTGATTTCTCTTCTGATTTCTTACTCTTTCTAAATCCAGAAACTGGTCTAATTATCCTGTTCTATTCTTTCGTCAGTTTTTTTTACCTCTCACTTTATCTTTTTTTTTTGTCATCTTTTGTTTTCTGCATTTCACCACAGTTTTCCTTCTTTGGTAGTTTGTGTAGATCCTTTAATAATTTTGTTGGCAGCCAAAGACGTTGTTGAGTCACATTATAGTTACTTATGATATATATTGTTAGCGATAGAAGAAAGATACCTGAATTTAATTTTTTATATGTGATTATTTTATCCACATACTTAATTGTTTAATTTTTCTGTTTCTATAACTTTTTTCCATTATTCATTTGATTGAAGAGTGTGAAGATCGCCTTCTTGAATATGTACCGACAAAAATTATGTATCTGATGTATTTATTAAAGTAAATGTAATGTAACTAAAGATCTCTTGCTCAGTGACTTTGAGAGTTTTGTTGTTCGAAGGTGATGATGATGATGTATTTTTCTTTTATTATTGCCATGTATTGGGTAACTCTTAATGATGATTTAGCAATTTTTGATGTTATCCGGATTATTTGAGATTTATGCTATTGTCTTTTTATTCTTTAACATATATTTTTCTTTAGGGCCCGTTTAGTTCGCTGATTCGAGTTGAGATGTGACTTTATATGAGAGCTTTTTACTGTAGTAAAAAAAGTTAGATGTGACTGTTTTTTAGAGCTTTTTACTGTAACAAAACTCGAATTCTAAACTTGAATCGGTAAAATAAACGGGGCGTTAGTTAATGTCATGTAATATTGATTTGGTAGTTTTTGATGTTGTCCAAATTTCTTGGGATTTCTATTGTTATGTTCTTCTCCAACTTTTTCTTCATGTTCTCCTATGGTGGCCCATCCCAGGCTCATGTTCAGGAGCCTAACATTTTCAGGATTTCTTCTTCTCTCATTTTGTCTTATTTTTTCTCTTTGATTTGTTACTTTTTCTAAATCCGAAAACTGATGTAATTATCCTGTTTTATTCTTTAGTCTGTTTTTTTTACCTATGTCTCACTATATTTTTTTTTCTCCTTTTGTTTTTGGCATTTCACTACAATTTTCTTTCTTTGTAGTTTGTGTAAATCCTTTAATAATTTAGTTGGCAATCAAAGACATTATTGAGTCACATTATAATTATTTATGATATATGTTGTTAGCGATATAAGAAAGATATACCTGAACCTAATTTTTTATATATGATTATTTTATTTACATACTTAATTGTTTAATTTTTCTGTTTCTATAACTTTTTTCTGTTACTCATTCGATTGAAGAGTGAAGATCGTCTTCTCAATATGCACCAACGAAAATTATGTATCTAATGTATTTAAAGACTGATGTTCTTTTTTTTTTTAAGAATATTTATCAGTGTGTATTCGTTGAGTGATAAACAATTTTATTGTATTTGGATTAATTGTAGCATTTGGCGTTTTGTTCAAGATTGTATTCTTGAACAAAAAAAAAGGAAAATTCCTGTACGATTGACTTTTTGTTAGTGCAAATTTTCTTCCAATACAAAAGTGAGTGTGAACGTCAAAGATAAACTTTTAATATTTTATTTGCATTTTACGTATAATTTAGTTATATCTTTAATATATTGCTTTATAAAGATGATATATGAAAAGTAATTGTTTATTTAAATCGTTAGAAAAATAACATAATATGTTTTTGTAAAATGAAATATAACTTTAGATGGTTGAATTTAGATACATTTCTTTCAATCTGTTTTCATAAATTTTATAAATCAACCTTTCATGATTTAACATAACGTTAGATAAAAAATAAATGAATATCGATCACTATGGTTTAGTTGAACTGTATACACAAGCATAAAAATCTTATACGCAATATTTTAATTAAATGTAACCTAAAAATTTACAATACTGTTTTTAATATCAGATAATACACAATATGATCTTCTAACCTCAATGGATATAGGAATTTTAATTATTAGGGATATTGGTGAGTATGAAAAAGGCAATGATATTATTATATATAGTCATATATAGTCAAGAGCGGAGAATTTTAAAGAATTAATAAACTTCATCCATCTTATATAACGATACAATATTCCTTATTATTTTCTTATGGTGAGGATGGATATAGAATTGATATCAAATGTAACCCAAATTTTACAAGAATAGAATTACGTATGAATCGAATTTTCATCAGATTATTTTATGTTTTTCAATTACAATAATGTTTACATGAAGGGAATACTTTATTTGAAAGTGGAAGACTTTTCCAACAATATATTATTGATGCCTATGTTGCTGTTGAAGAAGATCGGTTAGATTACGTTAGACAAAATCAAAATACTTTAAGATCTGAAATCTATAAAGGTATTCAAGATGTTATAACTTGAGGTGATACTGATGCACATGCAATTGGAAAGAGAATTATTTTACCATCATCTCATACTGGAAGTCCAATATATATGATTCAAGAATTATCAAGTCGCAATGGTAATATGTAGACATCACGGAAATCCTGATATATTTTTAACATTTACATGCAATCTTAAATGGCCAGAAATTACAAGAGCTTTAATTTCAGGATGAAAGACCAAATATCATAAGCAGAGTATTCAAAATATAATTAGATCATTTAGTGAAGACAATAAAATCAAGAAATATTTTTGGACCCATAATAGCAGGTAGGCTATTCTATTCTTTCATAAAACTTTGTACTTTATATTTTTACTAAAAAAAATAACATTTTAAAAAATTTTGTCATCATTTTTTTCTCTCTTATTTTTCCTATTATTGTAGATTTGTATGTGATCGAATTTCAAAAGCGTGGTCTTCCACATTGTTACATGTTATTCTAGCTAGATACTAAATGCAAATGTCGAGATCCTATACAAATAGATAAAATTATTTCAGTAGAACTTTCAAATCCAAAAAATGACCCATTAGGCTACAAAATTATTACTTATTATATGATACATGGACCATGTAGATATACAAAAATAAATGCTTGATGTATGAAAACCTCAATATGTTTAAAAAAAATCCCTAAACGATACAAAAATGAAACAAATATAGAATATAATGGTTTTGTTACTTATCGACGTAGAAATACTACTTTTAGTACTATTAAAGAAGGAATTCAACTTGATAACTCTATATAATCATACTCTATATATGAAATATCAAGCTCACATAAATGTTGAAATATGTTCCCAATATATGCTTATTGATTAAAGCCCAAAAGTGATGTTCACAAGCGGTCGATTGTAGCACAGAAGGGCGGTCGTATCCACATAGAGATAACAAAATAACAAGAAAGATTAACAGAATAAGAGCGTTAAAGAAAAATAAATAACAAGTGAATTAAAGAAAAAGAAGAGTTTTTTAGATTTTGTTGCAAATAAAGAGAAGATAAGATTTGTGTGGAAGAAATTCAGTAATAAAAACAGTAAAGTGTCGAGAATCCCTAATGTTTCGTTCACCAATTCAAGTTTTGATTCACAAAATAAAATAATCGAATAAATTAAATCTCCATGTTGACTCCGAAAATATTATTATTACAAGTTATCCAAAATCGATAATATATCAATTTGACAATATTACAGTAAAAGACAATTTATAAAATAATTTGAATAAT